GGGCGCTCGAGGGATCCTGATGCGGCCCGAGGGAGGCCAAGACGGCCCCTCCATCGTTTCATGCAGTCCCCTCACCCACCACCTCTTTCTCTTTCTCTCTCTCTCTCTCTGTCTTTCTGCCTTTGGTGTTTCTTTCGTTCCTTCATTCATTATCTCTCTCTCTCTCTCACTCTCTCTGTCAGACATCGCCTCGCTCTTTCGTCCACCTGCCTCCAAGGTATGGTTGGTCATGTCTTTCTCTCTCAGTGTCTCTCTCCATCTCTCTCTCTCTCTCTCTTATCGTTGTTTTTTTGTCTCCCTCTCTCTCTCTCTCTCTTTCTCACTCTCTCACAAAGGTTGTGGAGGAGAGGAGGGGCATGATGAGAGAGGGATCGGAGAGATGAGAAGGTGGGTGGATGAATGCTGCGGGGGAGGGTCAGTTAGGAGGGTTGAGGATCAATGTTGATGTAATGGGAGGAAAAGCAAAAAGGATGACAGCTAGAAAGGAGGATTTGGGATACGACTTGGGATGAATGTTTGGTAGGAGGATTGATGAGGCAGTCGGGGATGAGGCCCGATCATGAGGACGGCTGAGCAGGAGGATTGATGAAGATGGCAAAAGATGTTGGTGGAAGGAGACCAATGATGGTTGTCTAGGGAGACTGCTGAGATCATCCCTCACCCCTCCATGACAACCCTCACCCGTCTCCCTGAACCGCCCCTTCCTCCCGCTCCGGCTCCGCCGGCTCATTATCATGCTACCCCTCTTCCGTCTTACTCAACTCTCCTCGCCTTTCATCCTCAAACCATTCTCATCAGCATTCCCATCAACATCCTCATCAACAATTGTCCTCCACCTTCCTTCCCGAATCACATCCCGATCCCTCCTCCGTCTCGCTCCCCATCCTGATCCTCCTCGCCCCTCCTGTTCCGCGCGCCGGACAGAGGCCACGGCCCTCCAGACCCGCTAGGGCATCACACGCCGCATGCTACGACCTCGTCTCCGCTGCTGGAGCGGCGCTGTCCAACGCAAGTCCGTCCGCGACGTCGGGAGACGTCCGTCATGTGGCATAAAATGGGGGCTCGGCCACGAAAAACCTCCGCAAGAAACCCAACCCTGAAATCCGAGATCTGTTCCGTGAAAGCCCAAATTTGTCGATCGAAAATCGTCCGGATCTTATTGGGGGCCCATCGAAATCCAAGAAACCCAGGGCACCCTGGCAACATCCAACTGGTTTCTTGGCACGCGCCCCCGCTGTATGTCACGGCTCCCTGCGCCCTTGCGACGGAGGTGAAGGGGGGTTCCGCCGTCCCCGTGGAGCACGACCCTTGATTCTCAGTGTGCCTTGGGCTTGGGGGTCCCAGACTTCCCGAGGTCGGATGGGCGGCCTGCTCTGGCGCAGCAGGGCGCCCTTCCATCGCACGCCCCTGCTCGCAGAGAGCGCCCGCGGCGCAACGCAGCTAAGCGCCCTGCGCCAGCGAGAGGTGGTCGCACGGCCGCGGGCAGGGAACTCAGCTGCGGGCTCGTCCCGAGCGGCTGGTCTGATTTGCGAGTCGACCAGAAGCCGCCCCTCAAGGCCTGAGAGGAGGTCCCGTGGGCATTTCCACTGATTGGTTCGCCGGACTATCCGTGGATATGTTTTACACGATCCATGATAGGATTCGTCATGCCCAGCGTCTTCGCATGCCGAGGAGCCACATCCAGGGCCTTGAGCGCCGCATAGCGAGCTGTGGCTTCAGAGTGTCCACAGCGTGCGCTGATTGTACAGCTTTGTATGCAACGGCGCTCAGTGCGCTCAGCGCTTCGCCCGGATTCTCAGTGGATTGTTGTTGCCGGAAGCCTTCGTGATTTTGTTGCCGCGTTTTCCTGATGATGCGCTGGCCAGATTGTCCTGTGACACTTCCCATGGGCTCTCAACTGGAACCGCTACTATCGGGAACTCCTGCTTCCCGTGTCGCCGCGGCGGCCCCAGCGACACGCTATGCCCTGCGAGCGGACAGCGTGTCGCTCCGCTCCGCGGGGCGGGCGCCTCGGAACGGCTCGAGGCGCTGACGCTGGAGGACCAGGAGGTGGACAGCGTGTCGCGCCGAAGCGTGGGGGTGGGCCGGAGCTGGCGGTGCGAGACGTCATCCAACGTCCCCGACCGCACCTACAAAACCCCGCGCGCAATCTCACTGAACACTGCGCTGTCGCCGCGACCCCTCCCACACGTCCCCCCCCGCCGCGGGAGCCGCGGGCCCCCTCCGTGCAGAGTCTGGCGGAGGCTCGAAGCATGCCCTCGTCAGACTCTTCCCGGTGAGGCTCCCGGTGCAGGCCCCACGGTTTTGGAACCACGACGGAAAAGCTCCCCTCAGAACTGCCCGGAAAACCTCTGCTCCTCCTCCTCCTCCTCCTCCTCCTCCTCCTCCTCCTCTTCCTCCTCCTCCTCCTCCTCGCCCTTCCCCCTTTTCGCGGGAGTCGTGCGGGCCCCCTCCTGCTCTCGGCGGTTCTTCCCGGACGCTCGGTGCGCAGGGCCGCGGCGCGACGGAGCGCGCGCTCCTCTCTCCGCCCCCCGTCGGCGCGCGGGCAGTGAGCCCACAACGGGCTCTCTGGTCTGCCCACGGAGCACCGCTTCGCAGATCCCTATCTGATGGGCCGATTTCCCACCACCACTACCACAGGAAGGAACGGGAGGAGGAGGGGGAGGAGGAGGAGGAGGAGGAGGAGGAGGAGGAGGAGAAGGAGGAGGAACCCCCCAGCTTACCTTTTCCCTCGTTCTACCTATGGTAGTGGTGGTGGGAACTGGGCCCATCAGTATCCCGACTGGCGTGGGCTGGGCCCCGCTGGCCGAAATGCGCCCCCTAGATGGGGAATACAGGCTGTTCCCTTCGGGTTTCTGAGAGCGTTGGGACGGTGGTGCTGAGATACCATGGCCCGCTGGATATGGGGATCGGCCAAGCGGTAACTACCGACCCAAGACTCCAAGGCATTCCAGCGAGCGAGATGCCGCTGGGCCGCGCGGAGCCCGACGGAGGCCCAGAAAAAGAGGGAGGCGCAGCGAGGGAGATCAGTGTGTATATAGAGGAGACGGGCGGAGGGAGCATGAGGGGCGGATCCTGGCGGAGTCCGACGACGCCCGACGGAGTCCGAAGGGACCCCGCGGGGCCCATCGAGACGCGGCGCTGCCATGCAAGCCTAGAACCCCGACGGGGCCCGACGCAACCCAACCACGATAGATCAGACCACGGGGCCCCAACGGCAACGCATGACGCAAAGTACGGCGGAGAGCATCTGCCGCATCGTGCGCACTCGGCGTCCTCGCGGGTGGCGAACTCGCGTGCCGTGCCCGACCCACCGCGCGCGCTACTGCGCTGCGTCGTCCGATCGATACCAGTCCCACCAAACCTCCGCTCGCAACGCTGCATTCCGCCTGGCCGGGAGCGCCTCATCCCCGCCGGTAGACACCCCAAACAAATTCAACGGCCAGACTTTGCGCAACATCGAGGGGCGCTTTCCCACGAGACCTGCACAGCGCGCAACGACCGCAAGGCGAGCCGAACAACTTCCAGAAGTCCCTGCACGGCAAACGAAGCACGGGACGCGACCCTTGTATGAAAGACGCGCGCATTGACACACGCAACACATGTCGTCCGACTTCGACCGCGCAAGGGGGAACGGGGCTGAACGCGTAAGCAGCGCGTTGCACGATGCACTGGCTACAAAGGCAGACAACATCAGGCCGCAAGGACACTTCGCGTTTTTTTTGTGGGGGGGGCTTACTTCTGTACCTCGTAGAGCTAGACTCCAGATTTGCCCTCGCTCGCAAAGCTCCTCGGGGTGACTACATGGCCAGAGGGAGCGGCGGGCTCGCGCATCCCCACCAGACCAGCCCCAGGCGAACCTCCCGCTGCCCGCGGGTCTCCGGCACAAGTTGTCGGGTGGCTCTCGGGTGGCTCATCCACGGATCCACCGAGGCCCCCGAGATGGCGCCAAGATAGCCTCCAGAGGTTCACACTCGCTTCCAAGAGGGCCCCAACACGGCCCACGAGGGCTTTTCAGCAGGCCCTTCGGGTGGGCCTCAGAAACCAGAAGCACAAACCATGCACCCAAAGACCCCCACGAGGCCCCTGGGATGCCCCCAGGAGTCACCCTTCAGGCCCCTAGAGGCCACCCTCCTCCTCCTCCTCCTCCTCCTCCTCCTTCTTCTTCTTCTTTTTCTTCTTCTTCTTCTTCTTCTTCCTCTTCCTCTTCCTCTTCCTCCTCCTCCTCCTCCTCCTCCTCCTCCTCCTCCTCCTCCTCC